TATAATGAATCAGGGACATAGAAAGGGAATGATGGACAGACTATTCTTGGGGGGGAAAGGGGTGTGGGGGATGTGGGAAGAGACTGGACAAAAATCGTGCACCTATGGATGAGGACAGTGGGTGGGGAGTGAGGGCGGAGGGTGGGGCAGGAACTGGGAGGAGGGGAGTTATGGGGGGGGGGGGAAAAGAGGAACAAATGTAATCTGAACAATAAAGATTTAATTAAAAAAATAAATAATAAAATAAAATAAAAAAAAGAAAATAGATTATTGTAATTTAAATATCTATACTCTAAACCCTACAGCAACCACTAAAAAGGTGAAATATAATTATAGCTAATAAGCCAATAAAAGAAATAAAATAATCATAAAATATATTGAATCTAAAAGAAGTCAGAAGAAGAATAAAAAGGAAAAAAAAACCCACATGAGACATACAAAACAAGTAGCAAGATGGTAAATTTAAATCTAACCTTATCAATAATCACGTTAAATATAAATGGTCTAAACATCCAATGAAAAGATAGAGATTGTCAGGTTGGATTAAAAAAAAACCAAATTAGCCCTAGCTGGTTTGGCTCAGAGGATAGAGCATCCACCTGTGGACTAAAAGGTCCAGGGCACACACCCAGGTTGTGGGTTTGATCCCCAGTGGGGGGCATGCAGGAGGCAGCTGATCAATGATTCTATCTCATTGATGTTTTTATCTCTGTTTCCCTCTCCCTTCATCTCTGAAATCAATAAAAATATATTTTAAAAAAGAAACCCAATTATAAGCTTTCTATAAAAAAACCTACTACAGCCTGGCTGGTGTGGCTCAGTAGTTGAGCATTGACCTATTAACCAGGATGTCTTAGTTTGATTCCTGATCAGGGCACATGCCCAGGTTGTGGGCTCCACCCCAGCGTGGGGTGTGCAAGAGACAGCCAATCAATGATTCTCTCTCATCACTGATGTTTCTACCTCTCTCTCCCTCTCCCTTCCTCTCTGAAATAAAAAAGAAATTGTATTTTTTAAATATTTTATTGATTTTTTACAGAGAGGAAGGGAGAGAGATAGAGAGTTAGAAACATCAATGAGAGAGAAACATCGATCAGCTGCCTCCTGCACATCTCCTACTGGGGATGTGCCTGCAACCCAGGTACATGCCCTTGACTGGAATCGAACCTGGGACTCTTCAGTCCGCAGGCCGATGCTCTATCCACTGAGCCAAACCGGTTTCGGCAGAAATTGTATTTTTTAAAAAGGGGTTTCTAATCCTAGCTGGTTTGACTCAGAGAATAGAGTGTTGGCCTGTGGACTGAAGGGTCCTGGGTTCAATTCTGGTCAAGGGCACATGCCCAGGTTGCAGGCTCAATCCCCAGTAGAGGCATGCAGGAGGTGGTTGGTCAGTGAATCTTTCATCATTGATGTTTCTACCTCTCTCTTCCTCTTCCTTCCTCTCTGAAATCAATAAAAAATATATTTAAAAAAAATAAATTTTAGCCCTAACTGGTTTGGCTCAGTGGATAGAGCGTTGGGCTGCGGACTGAAAGGTCCCAGGTTTGCTTCCGGTCAGGGGCGTGTACCTTGGTTGCGGGCACATATCCAGTGGCGGGTGTGCAGGAGTCAGCTGATCGATGTTTCTCTCTCATTGATGTTTCTGAATCTGTCTCTCTCTCTCTCTCTTCCTCTCTGTAAAAAATCAATAAAATATATATTTAAAAATAAATAAATAAATAAATTTTAAAAAGGGGAGTGGAGTCTAAACAGTAACCTTGGCCCTGGCAGGGTAGCTCAGTTGGTTAGAGCATTGTCTGATACACCAAGGTTTCAGGTTTGATTCCTGGTCAGGGCACTTCGAGAATCAACCAATGAGTGCATAAATCAAGTGGAACAACAAATCAATGTTTCTCTCTCTCTCTTTCTCTCAAATCAATTTTTTAAAAAAGTAAAGTAACCTCACAGAGTGATCTGATTATAACTTCCTAACTGGGCAGGTCATGGTGAGTAGTCATACCACAGGCATATAACTTTTTTAGTAGACGGTTTATTTTTTAAGCAAGCCCTGTTCATTGTTGTTTGTGCATCTAGGTTTACACACCTTTGCAATAAGCATTACCACCCTGAAGAGAGCACATAAACTTGTTAACTACACTGTAATCCAATAATCTTGTTAACTACACTGTAATCCAATCCCCATCTTACTTTCTCCCACCTTCATGGACTCTTATGTTCCCTCCTTAGTTCAAATGCATAGAAGAAACTGCAAAACTTATTCTCTGAAGCAATTGTCATCAAGGGCACATGCCTTGATCAGAATTGATGCACCCCTATGTTCTTAGCAGCACAATTTACAATAGCTAAGATCTGGAAACAACCCAAGTGCCCATCAGTAGATGAGTAGATAAAAAAAGCTGTGGTACATTTACACCATTGAACACTATGCAGAAGTAAAAAAGAATCTCTTATCCTTTGAGACAGCATGGAGGGACCTGCAGAGTATTGTGCTAAGCCGAAATAAGCCAGTCAGAGAAAGACAAGTATCACATGATCTCAATCATATGTGGAATCTGATTAACAAAATAGATCCAGAGACAGAAGCATAGAACAGACTGTGCAATCTCAGAGGGAAGGCAGGGGAGGGTGGGTAGGTGGGAAGAGATTAACCGAAGAACTTGTATGCATATATGCATAACTCATGGACACAGACAATAGGGTAGTGAAGGCCTGAGGTGGGTGGTGGGGGCAGGCTAGAAGGGGTCAATGGGGGATAAGGAGGGACATATATAATACTTTCAACAATAAAGATTTAATTTGAAAAATTCTCTCCAGAAATAGAGATAGAAAAAGACAAATTACTAGTATCGTAAATGAGAGGTGACATTATTAAAGGTTCTACAGATAATGAAAGGATAGTAAGAGATTATCATGAACAATTTTAAACCAATAAACTCAAAAACTCTGATGCAATGGACAAATTCCTTGAAAGGTACAAATTGTGAAAGCTTACTGAAGAAGAAATAACATAACATGAGTAGCCCTATGATGTTTCTAAAAATTAAATTTGTAGTTTAAAAACTTCCCATAGTTAAACCCCAAGTCTAGATGGTTCCATTGGTTTTCTCCCAACCCCACTGAAACATTGGTGGTTTCTACCAAACATATAAAAGAAAATGCCAATTCTTCAACAAACTCTTACAGAAAATTGTAGAGAATATTCTACGTGAGTCTATAAAGCTAGCATTACTCCGATGCTATTATAAGAAAACTAGACTAATGTATTTTATAATCATGGACACAAAAATTTATTAACAAAATTTAACAAACTGAATACAAGATGATAAAAAAACATGCTACATTATGAATAAATGGCATTTATTCCAAAAATTCAAGGTTGGTTTAGCATTCATAAATCAATGTAATTTACTATATTAACAGATTCCAGAGAGAAAAACATGTGATTATTTGACTAAATTCAGTAAAAGCTTTTGATAAAACCTAATATTAATAAGTCACATGGGTATGATATACAACATGGTGACTATAGTTAATACTGTATTGCATTTTGAATGTTGCTAAGAGAGTAACTATTAAAAGATCTCATTACAAGAATGAAATGTGTAATTATGTATGGTGATGGGTGTTAACTAGATGTATTGTGGTGGTCATTTCACAATATGTACACTTATTGAATTAAAAAATAAACCCAATATCTATTATTGATTAAAAATCTAGGTAAACTAGGAAAAGAAGGGAATCTCCCCAACTTTATATAGAGCATTCTAAAATATCTATAGCTACTATCATACTTAATGGTGGAAGACTGAATGCTTTTCCCTAACATTAAGAACAAAGTAAGAATGCCTCATTACTTCTACTCAACTTTATACTAGAGGTTCTAGCCTACCTAGTACTATCAAGAACAAAGTTTAAATGCACACAGATATTAAAGGAGAAAAATTA